GACCTGTAGTAGCACTAGGTGTATGACATGTAGTAGCACTAGGTGTATGACATGAAGTAGCCCCGGGCGTATGGCATGTAGTAGCACTAGGTGTATGACCTGTAGTAGCCCCAGGCGTATGACCTGCAGTAGCACTAGGTGTATGACATGTAGTAGCCCCAGGCGTATGACATGTAGTAGCACCAGGCGTAAGACATGTAGTAGCACTAGGTGTATGACATGCAGTAGCCCCAGGCGTATGGCATGTAGTAGTCCCAGGCGTAAGACATGTAGTAGCCCCAGGCGTATGACATGTAGTAGCACCAGGCGTATGGCATGTAGTAGCACCAGGCGTAAGACATGTAGTAGCACAAGGCGTATGACCTGTAGTAGCACTAGGTGTATGACATGTAGTAGCCCCAGGCGTATGACATGTAGTAGCACCATGCGTATGACATGTAGTAGCCCCAGGCGTATGACCTGTAGTAGCACTAGGTGTATGACATGTAGTAGCCCCAGGCGTATGACCTGTAGTAGCACTATGCGTATGACATGTAGTAGCACTAGGTGTATGACATGTAGTAGCACTAGGTGTATGACATGTAGTAGCACCAGGCGTATGACCTGCAGTAGCACCAGGCGTATGGCATGTAGTAGCACTAGGTGTATGACATGTAGTAGCCTCAGGCGTACGGCATGTAGTAGCACGAGGTGTATGACATGTAGTAGGCCCAGGCGTATGACATGTAGTAGCCCCAGGCGTATGACCTGTAGTAGCACTAGGTGTATGGCATGTAGTAGCACCAGGCGTGTGACCTGCAGTAGCACTAGGTGTATGGCATGTAGTAGCACGAGGTGTATGACATATAGTAGCCCCAGGCGTATCACCTGTACTAGCACTAGGTGTATGACATGTAGTAGCCCCAGGCGTATGACCTGTACTAGCACTAGGTGTATGACATGTAGTAGCACTAGGTGTATGACATGTAGTAGCACCATGCGTCTTACATGTAGTAGCACTAGGTGTATGACCTGTAGTATCACTAGGTGTATGACATGTAGTAGCACCAGGCGTATGACATGTAGTAGCACTAGGTGTATGACATGTTTATCACCAGGCGTATGACATGTAGTAGCACAAGGCGTATGACAAGTAGTAGCACCAGGCGTATGAAAAACAACATTGCAGCACAAAACCCAAAATGCAACAACGATCCTCGAACGCTATTTTCACAAAGCCTAAATGCTAATGTCCCGATGTTTAACGTGCGGGTAGACACATATCAGGGGTAAGGCTGTTTACATCAGGCTTATTTGTTGTGAAGGACAATTAAGTCCCCAAATCAGTAATATGGTCGACAGAATCATACACACTTCTGTATTTTCATTTATCTGCGATTGCTTAATTGCGATGACTATTTGCTCATCGACCTCATAAAAAACGTAAAGAAGAAATTATCTTTGGAATGAGGTGTGAATTTTAACACACGTTTTGACACGTGTAGTGGAGTAAGCCTCATCTCAAGCAGATATCATGCCCATTGGCATGATTGCCAAGGTAAAACCACAAAGGGCGTATTATTATTATTTTTATCATTATTATTATAATATAATCCGCAATTAATCCAGGCTCGTAAGTTATTTTTTTAACTGAGAATTCCCCAAACTACCCGCGGTCAGAAATGTTAGAAATGAAGCAGTACACGTGGGGCCAGCCGGTGATGACGCCTTGCCTACTTGTGAATGCCAGCTGACCGTGACTGGATAGGTTTCATTAATAAGTCGACATTTCATCACCAAATCATCCTGCTGCTGGCATATTTCAGTTACAAGCCCTTCGTGTAACATAAACGTCTTAAGAAGATGGAGTTACCAAACTTAAAGTCTCTGACTGTCTATTTCAACTTGATGACCACGCTTGTAGTCATCTATATTTTGTTTATATCTCTTAAAGAGCATCTTTCTACAGTACCGTTTTATTCCCCTGTAAAGATGCAGCAAATCCACAGCCATCAAATGTTGCCGTCGGATGACTACAAAACATACACATTGGGAAAGGTCGCAAGACATAATTTCCTTAATCAGGATTTGATCCGAAGCTTCAACGTCAGTGTAAATGGAAGCGATGTTATTGTGTTATTGCGCATACAAAAAACCGGAAGTACTACATTTGCGAGACATATGCAGAAACACTTCAATGTCTCGCCTTGGTGTCATTGTAATACTCTATTATCAAGACAGTGTTATTGTTATCGAAAATGGAAGTCCAACGTTCTCTTCAAAAGGAGAGACACCGACTGGCCCTGTGGAGTTCACGCAGACTGGACTTACCTTCACGAATGTGTAGAAAGGACAATGAACAAGCGTCACGGTCAAGAAATAAAGCAAAGGTATAGGTTGTTGGCTTTTCTTTTTGATTATTCTTATGTTGAGATATATTCATTATAGTTAATACAAGCCCTGGCCTATGACCGAAAATAGGTAAGATAGATTCATATTCTACGTTGTAAATAAAATGTGTGCTTTATGTTCGCAAAATGCTTGTTGGTTTGTGATAAAGGGTGTGATCATATATAACAAAGAAATGCACGTTTTGCACAGTTAATTATACATCCGTTGTCACGTTGTCAAATATTTCAAGTTATTTATCTGTGATATCTATTCTAAAAGGGGGCACAGTGGGACCCCTTGAGGTGATAGTGTTGGCTCGTGAGGGGCAATTGCAAGGGTACACTTCTCATGTCATGCTATTGCTGGAATACGACTGCATCCAAAATAAATCATACTCGTTCACTCACTCACTTTCCATAAGCATATGTTTTGAGCCGTACATGGTAATGTGGGTGTTTTACTCTTTTGTAAACGAAATGACAATACACAGGCACCTGGTGTGTGCCAATAGGTATTAAAAAAGGATGTATACTTTCTGTAATTATAAACGACAAGACACTTTCTATATTCATAAGGGGGTGGTCGGGTAGCCTGGTGGTTAAAGCGTTCGGATTCGATTCCCGACATGGGTAAAATGTGTGAAGCCCATTTCTGGTGTCCCCCGCCGTGATATTGCTGGAATATTGCTAAAAGCGGCGTAAAACCATACTCACTCACTCACTCACTCACTCACTATATTCATAAGGCATTTCCGCGAAAAAACAGTGTACCTTGTGTCCATTGTACGATTCCGACGATATCCTGAGCATGTGTTTATTATCACTATCAAACAGTAATAAAACCAGGTGAAAATGGGTAAAATGTGTGAAGCCCATTTCTGGTGTCCCCCGCCGTGATACTGCTGGAATATTGCTAAAAGCGGCGTAAAACCATACTCACTCACTCACTCACTCACTATATTCATAAGGCATTTCCACGAGAAAACAGTGTCCATTGTACGATTCCGACGATATCCTGAGCATGTGTTTATTATCACTATCAAACAGTAATAATACCAGGTGTTGGCGAGAAGATGAGCACATGTGGCATCCGTCAGAAAGACATGCAATGACAAGTCAGTTGTTCACATGAAAAAGCTCGGAAACATATGGTACACGTCATAATAGGAAATTATATTGGACATCATTTTTTTTGTCACTGATGCGTCAGATTTGTAAATGTCCTCAACATACCTACCATTAAACTTTTCTTAAAGCTTTACTGAGATCTTGAATAGTGGTCTTAATCACAAACTGATAAAACCGTATGACTCTCTTTGAAATCTTTTTTTTATGATTTTATTTCTTTTTGGAGTACACAAACAATATGTTTACAGAATATTGTTCACATGCAATTTTAAATACATACAAGTTACAAAGTATATCTATAGATGATTACAAACAAAAACTATTCCAGTGTCATATTGTTGGTTTGTGCAAGTTCGTGGTTTTAAACGAATAGGTAGTGACAGAGAAGCCAAAATGTCATTAACTGTGTGTATTTACATTGTGAATATGATATATTTCTTTCGATATCATATCAATCGGTTATTTCTTGTTTGATGTGTGGGAAATTTGAAATGGAGTCGGAAATGTTTCATTTGAATATGTTTTGCTTTGGTACAGTTATAATATGATTTAATACATCATTTTGTTTTTGTTGATATCCTAATTGTCAGTTATGAAAATTCTAGTTCTGTTCCAGTTTTGTCTTTGATCCATTTTGTAAGGTTGTTCCAGATATGTTTTAAAATTTTGCACTCAAAGAACGACTGTAAAACACATTTTCTGGAATATTCTAGTCTTATTCAAGCAATAAAACAACATCTAAAGCGTAAGAGTATAGCCCTAACATCTAAGTTACATCTGCCCTTAATACCATATTTCCTTGAAAACTTAGTGGAGAGGGGGGATTGAGGGTATTTTATGATATATTAAATAAAGTATCCAACAATATGATATCCCCCAAAATACATTCAAAGATGGGAACTAAATCTTGGCCTTAACATGACGGAAAAAGATTGGCAAACGATTAATCTTAGCCCCCACAGATATAATGTGTCCTCAAAATAAAAATGGTTCCAATACAGTATTATTCATAGAATTATACCAACAAACGAGTTACTGTACAAAATGGGATATAAAGAATCATTTCTTTGCAATTTTTGTAAACGAGAAAAACTCTTTCAAATCGTGGTAGAAACTGCCTGCTAGACTGCCTGTACCTCAAAGTCGTGAAATGTAGATGTTGCGAGCTTCAGGAATATTGCTAGACATGAGGGAAAGTTGACTATCAGAGGAAAGTTGAAGTCCTCCCGCTTGTCATACAGTCTTGTGGAGGGTGTTTTGTCAATCTTTTTGTTATGCATCTATTTAATTATGAAGCAGATGAGGCAGTCGCACTGATCTTCTTTATTTTTAGTTCAGGTGGGATACATACGTAAATATGCCCAACAAAGACAATGCTCAAAATCGTCTTTTATCGTCTTAATTTCCTGTTATGCGTGTATGGTGTAAGTGTGTGCTGTAGTTATGGTCGATATTTTGTAATATGTCGATGCTTGAAAATGTTTCAGACATTTGTACATAACAATGGTGAGAGACCCTCTTCGAAGGTTCGTGAGCGAATGGGAACACGTGGTCAGAGGAGCAACATGGAAAGGTGCCTCGCTCATTTGCAATGGTCATGCCGCCACAGAGGCGGAACTTCCTCCATGCTTCCGCAGGAACTGGATAAACGTCACCCTTCACGACTTCATTGAGTGTTCAACAAATCTCGGAATAAACAGACAAACCCGGATGTTAGCCAACCTGAGCATTGTTGGTTGTTACAATACTTCCACCTCCGATCTCACGTACGACGCAAGGCACTATCTCATGCTGGCAAGTGCAAAAGAGAACTTACGGAACATGGCTTTCTTTGGTTTGACAGGTCATCAAGAATTATCACAGATCTTGTTTGAGAAAACCTTCAACTTGAATTTCATCACAAAATTCAAGGATACTCCAACCAGTAAAACATGGAGTGGCAGAGTCAATTTGTCCAATGTGCAACGTGACAAAATACTTCATTTGAACAGGTTTGATGTCATGTTATACCAGTATGCCAGGGACTTGTTTTTCCAAAGATTACAAATGTTGGCTGAGAGAAGAAAGGATTCCTCTCTTCGAAACTTTATTCACACGAGTATAATTAAATACTGAACAGCAACGTGTAAACCTAAACCGTGTAAACCGTTTTGAAATGTGAAACATTCCCTGGGACTGATGGGGGGTAATATAGGTTGCGAACCCATGCTCAGTGGATCCTGGATGGGTATCTACAGCAAATTGTGGAGCCTGAGATCACGTGGTGGCATGTGCGTCATTGCCGTACATATAATTACTTCGTGTGTGTATCGAATAGAATCATGTACATTATTAAACAACTGAAATAGAATATATTTAAACATTGATCTCGTTGATGTTTTATCCCTCTACCTGGAGTCTATCCCTCTATATGCAGTATGTATAACATTATTACGAGAAAATGAGTAGTTTGATAAGATGAGGCAGTACAATGGGCGAGGGATCGTTCAAAAGCGAGATATAGTTTTAATAGGGAGATGTGCTTGTCGTAGTATATTAACCACTGTGAATCATGAACAGATGATGGCACTAGTACTGTTAACCATTCAATTCTTATAAGAACTAGGGGGACGGGTCTAAAGCACCGCGATTCCCTTTGCAGAGTTGCGTCCCTTGGGAACGTTAGAAACCTATGATTGTCGGTTCGAATCCCGGTTCACCCAGCTTATGTTTCTAGGTTTGTCAGCACCATACATGTGCTCTTGGGTTTCACCGAAGTGGTAAACGTTTAAGACCTGCATCACTTCGGGTTTTCCGTCACATTAAGCTGACACGCCGTGATATAACTGGAACACTGTTAAAAGCGGCGTTAAACCCAACTCACTCACTCACTCACTTATAAGAACTCCACACGACCTGTGTATCACTTACACTGCACTAGCCTGGTTTGGATCCTATCCCAGCGACAAATATCAGTATATAGTTGTGGATTTTAAGAAATTCTCCTGCCTACATGCTTGACCATAGTGTCCCTGAAAGCTCTGTCTTAGAACCAATACGTTGGCAATATTGCTGACACCAGGGTGCTCATGATAGCCAAGTATGTTTCTCACATCGCAATGTTGAAGATTGTGTTGTCAAGATTGAGAGCTATTGTCTTGATTACATGAAAGCTGATGTGACTTAACGAGGACAGTACATAATTTGTTGTGATATGTCCAGTACGGCAATGTAAAGATGTTCAACAACATGTTATAAGCGATGCTGTCATTCTTCTTTCTCACACGGTGATGAATCTGGGCGCAGAAGTGGGTATGAACCATCATGTGACCAGGGTGTGCCAAACAGTTAATTGTCATTTCAGAAATATTGGAAGCATTCAGCCATATCTCCCCAAATCCTCTTCAGTAAAATCAAAGATTAACATACTTCAAGCCACCATGAATACAGCTGTTAGGATTTTATTCAGGTCTCCCAACATCTAACGTAGCTCCACTCGCTGCCAGTTGCTGCAATATTGTACTTTCGGCAAAACAACATTCTCAGTTGCTGCAGCGTCTCTGTGGAACATACGAGAGAAAATCTAAAATCTGCTCCCACTATTTCAACTTTCAAGTCTCAGCTTAAAACATTTCATTTTCAACAGTCTATCATTTTCTCAAGCGCACAGGTGATATCTATTATTATTTTTAATTGTTGCGTTGGTTGGTTATTTTTTTAACGCCGCACTCAGCAATATTCCAGCTATATGACGGCGGTATGTAAATAATCGAGTCTGGATTGATATCCACGCTATCGGGATCGATAACAGGCATCAACCAAGTCAGCGAGCCTGACCACCCGATCCCGTTAGTCGCCTCTTACGACAAGCATAGTCGCCTTATATGGCAAGCATGGGTTACTGAAGAGCTATTCCACCCCAGATCTTCACGAGCGTGTTTATGTATCTCTTACGCATCTCATCACGTCAAGACCAGATTTCATGTAAGGATCACTCATCATACCTGATTCCCTGCCTCTCTTGGAGGAGTGACCGCTGTCGTCACTGGGTGAATATATGTTATTATCACATTTGCTATCACCACAGTATTTTTATGTTTGATACTGCCCTCTGCCATCCCATTATATGTTGCCATTATTGTACTACCATTCTATTGTGTACTGCCATTATAATTGTTGTGCAGTTATGTGTGTTGTTTTGTTAATCTTGTGATATTGTACATTTGGTTGTAAACCACTTGTTGGGTGTTTGTTAGTTTTACACTTTTACGTACAGATTTCTGGGTTGACTTATTGTTTCAATTTGGGTATGGACACGTAACAGCCTTTACAACACACTGCCAACGTGTTTGTCTCTTTCGTCATTCACATTGCTTATCAAATCCATGACCACAATTGGCTGAAATACTCGAACTATTACATAATTTGATCGGCTGCAGAGAACTGTGAGCACACTGCTTTAAATAAATACTCAAATCAACAACCATAAAACACCTTCGTTTTTATATATAAATGTAAACATGTATGTATTCTTGAGCTGAGATTAAATAGCAATCACAACCATTGCTTTTGCATGGATCTTGTATTCTTACAAACAACTGAAACATGTATTTAGATATCGGCAGACTGTAAACATACAATCCAAGGTGGCTTCCCGCGCCACCGTAAAATTGTTTTAAGTAGACGATTCGTTTAGCCGAACTGGAATGTTTTTATCTCTTTTCACGAAGATAGTTCCTATTCATTTTCATTGGAATTAAGCCATACCCCGTCATACAATATGTGTAATTCTACTTGGATAATCACAAATCACCACAGACAATTGACACAGTGCTCTCCAAAGCCTCAGTGTTTTGAGCCTAGAATCTAACTGCTGCTCCCTGGTCTGTTCAAAATGCAAACACGAACGAATATCATTACAGCCAACATACAATTTGCGCCGCACAGGACACCCTAGGTCAACGCAAACATGAAAATTGCCCCACAAAGGAGGCCATAGTTCAACGCAAACATGACCTCTGCCCCACACAGGACGCCCTTGGTCAACGCAAACATGAAATCTGCCTCCACAAAGGAGGCCATAGGTCAACGCAAACATGATCTCTGCCCCACACAGGACGCCCTTGGTCAACACAAACATGAACTCTGCCTCACAAAGGACGCCCTTGGTCAACGCAAACATGAAATCTGCCCCCACAAAGGCGGCCATAGGTCAACGCCAACGTGAAATCTGCCCCACACAGGGCACCCTAGGTCAACGCCAATATGGAATCTGCCCCACACAGGACGCTCTTGGTCAACGCAAACATGACTTCTGCCCAAGTCAGTCCGTCGATACAGCACTGATATAACCGTTCCACCGTTTTCGTGACAACAAAATGTTAAATGATAAACGAAAAATAACAACATCGCAGCACAAAACCCGAAATGAAACACCGATCCCCGAATGCTATTTCCACAAAGCTTACATGCCAACGTCCTCATGTTAAACTTGCGGGTTTCTACATATCAGCGGTAAGGCTGTTAAGTCCCAAATCAGTAATATGGTCGTTGCTCATTACGTTGCCTTACGCTGGTGTACAAAAATACTTTAGATGTGAATTTCGCCTAGTTAATATTGAAAAAAAACCATCCAGCTAAAAGGTTTTGGATTCAAAGCGTTTAAGTTTAGGGAATGATCAGACAGAATCATACACACTTCTGTATTTTCATTTATCTGCGATTGCTTAATTGCGATGACTATTTGCTCATCGACCTCATAAAAAAACGTAAAGAAGAAATTATTTTTGGAATAAGGTGTGAATTTTAACCCACGTTTTGACACGTGTAGTGGAGTAAGCCTCATCTCAATAAGATATGACGCCTATTGGCATGATTTCCAAGGTAAAACCACAAAGGGTGTATTATGATGATGATGATATGATCCGCAATTACCCCAGGCTCGTAAGTGTTTATCTAACTGAGAATTCCCCCAGAAATGTTAGAAATGAAGCACAGATGCAGTACACGTGGGGCCAGCTGGTGATGACGACTTGCCTACTTGGGAACGCCAGCTGACGGTGACTGGATACGTTTCATTAATAAGTCGATATTTCATCACCAAATCATCCTGCTGCTGGCACATTTCAGTTACAAGCCCTTCATGTTACATAAACATCTAACAAAGATGAAGTTACCAAACTTAAAGTCTCTGACTGTCCATTTAATCTTGATGACCACGCTTGTAGTCATCTATATTTTGTATAATTCTCTTGAAGTGCATCTTTCTACAGTGTCGTTTGATTCCCCTGTAAAGATGCAGCAAATCCACAGCCATCAAATGTTGCCGTCGGATGATTACAAAACATACACATTGGGAAAGTTCGCAAGGCATAATTTCCTTAATCAGGATTTGATCCGAAGCTTCAACGTCAGTGTAAATGGAAGCGATGTTATTGTGTTATTGCGCATACAAAAAACCGGAAGTACTACATTTGCGAGACATATGCAGAAACACTTCAATGTCTCGCCTTGGTGTCATTGTAATACTCTGTTATCAAGACAGTGTGATTGTTATCGAAAATGGAAGTCCAACGTTCTCTTCAAAAGGAGAGACACCGACTGGCCTTGTGGAGTTCACGCAGACTGGACTTATCTTCACGAATGTGTAGAAAGGACAATGAACAAGCGTCACGGTCACGAAATAAAGCAAAGGTATGGGTTGTTGGCTTTTCTTCTTGATTACGCTTATGTTTAGATATATTCATTTTAGTTTTGTTAGTTTTAGTTTTTATGTTTTGAGCCGTACATGCTAATGTAGGTGTTTTACTGTTTTATAAACGAAATGGCAATACACAGGCACCTGGTGTGTGCCAATAGGTATTTAAAAAGGATATATACTTTCTGTAATTATAAACGACAAAACACTTTCCATATTCATAAGACATTTTTGCGAAAAACAGTGTCCATTGTACGATTCCGACGATATCTTGAGCATGTGTTTATTTATCACTATCAAACAGTGTTAATACCAGGTGTTGGCGAGAAGATGAGCACCGGTAGCATCCGTGAGAAACACATGCAATGACAAGTCAGTTGTTCACATGAAAAAGCTCGGGAACATATGGTACACGTCATAATAGGAAATTATATCGGAC